AACACTTTGGGCGTAATCACTACCCTTACTTTCAATTAACTGAATTTCTAGTAGAATATCTTGATACTGATACTGGTTTTTGTTATTACTGTTACTATGTCATGTCCTTTCTTCTCTTACATTACTTAAATTCATCATGTTTTGTTTGCTGTTGGTTGCAGACCCAAGATGGTGGTTGGTTGGTATCATTCACATCCAGGTTTTGGGTGTTGGCATTCTGGCGTTGACATCCATACTCAGCAGGTTGGTACTCCGTCGTCATTAATTCTGCACTGCTCCAACTTGCGTTGTTACTTTCTGTATCGTTGAATATTCAATCAATATTTACCTGTTCTTGCACTTGGTATTTTTTACATCTTCAGTGATATAACTCGAATTTGTGACCTCTATTCGAAATCTTAGTGAAACGTTGGATTTCTTATCTCATGTCTGCATTTCGTGGAAAAATATTCCACAAATTTTCACAGCCCTTTTCTTTTGTTTTATATCCATTCAAGCAGTCATTCCCATCCTACCCTTTGCCTCTATTTACTGAACCTGGTTATTTACCTTTTATCATTTTTTTGGGACTGGCAATATCGTACTGTGGGATTGATTATCAATAATTCCTTGATTCTATTAAACCAGAAAAGAAACGTGTGATCCTGTAAAATGTAGGTAATATGTAATTATACACATTCAAAGATTTGTCTTGTTGCTATATATTTTAGCTTTGCTCTGTTAGTCCTGAATTTCGAGTATGTCTAAAATCATGAGGTAAAACTAATAAGAGGAGACTGAGATATTGTGAAATTTTTGTTTTTTCAATTATCAACCAAATTTTAATTTTATAACCTTGTGCTTAAGAAGGTATATTCTTTGTACATTTTCGTTATGTGGTTATATCCATCTTTTTGTGGTTGAGCATTTTATCATTTTGTACTTAGTTTGGCTGGAGAAATGAATTTATGGCGTACACAGACAGTTGGAAAGTTAATTTGTTAATTTTTCCACTATCAATTGTTTACTGTTCAGTCAATTTTTATTTAGATCTGTGTAGCTTTAGCATCCTCAGTTGCCATTTCCTATTGTATGATGTAGAGTTTTGAAGCTTTAAATAAAAGAGCAGTTGCAGTGGTGGTGGATTCCATTCAGTGTGTTGTGGTGATTGATGCCTTCAGACTGATTAACCCCCAAACCATGATGCTTGGCCAAGAGCCAAGACGGACAACAGCCAATCTGGGATATCTATTGCTAATGTGGGAAGTTGAGTTGCCGCCAGAAAAGATAGCTATTGCTAATGTGGGAAGGCGAGAGACGCAAAGAAGCATCTCAAGGAGCATGTCTCAAACTTGATGTCTTCAAACATTATTCAGACATTGGAACTCTGTTAGACACTGTTGTCTTCTAGAGTCAGCATTATGTTTCTTGTGGTAGTTAAACTAAAATGTTGACCGGTTGGTTTGTTTTCTCTTGATGTGAACAAGTGTCTTCTTATGTACTCTGAGTAAGCAACTATCTTTGACATGATCTCTTGTTTTTCCATGTTATATCATCCTGATATTTGTCTCTATAGAATCCTAATTCAAGGACACAAGGATCCTTTCTATGCTCAAATTATTTGGTTTCTCCCATTCATGCGGCCTTTGGTAAGGTCCAAAAGAGGGGACACATTTGTCTTTAATCCAGGCATTTAGCAATTGACTAGTCATTCCATGATGCTCCAACTATCAATCATTGTCATTCTGCCGTTCTAAAATATTTTAGTTCATCAAAGGCCAGTTTGGTAGGGATTTTAAAAAGTCAAAAGTGGCTTCGGAAATTAAAAAGCTACTTTTAGACTTATTCGGATAATTTTCTAAACGTGTTTATCTGGTTGTAAGAGCTTTTAGAGGAAGTGAGCCTGAAGTAGTTTTTAAAGAAGCTCTTCTACAAAAATTAAATGCAGGCCCGTCAAAAGAGGAAGGGGGTAAACTAAAGTTATTTTGAACCGTGTTAAGGATCTAATTACTTTGGTAGTTCTTGTAATGAAACAACCACCGGTAAAAATGGATTTATATGCTGGTAAAAATTTGTTGGCAACAAAACTTGTGTTACCATGAACTTCTGTTACATTACAAAAATATGTAGGATATATATTTTGATCGTTTTATGAGGGAACTTAAACCAATTTGAGATGTATGTGGTGTAAAATAACAACAGCCAAAGGAATGAGTGATGTAGAATATGCTTGATAATAACATTATTATGTGCTGACACAACTGGTAGATGCCTGCACAGTGTAGTTTTTTAAATTGGTACAAATGATAATCTGAAAATAAACTCAAGAATCAACTGACATTCATTCGTTTATGGTTTATGAATTCAGCACAGCGCTTGATCAGTTTGATAGCTTTTTCACAGGTTGGATTGATGATGTGAAAGACATGGTCCTCTGCTTCTGTCTCAAAAGCCTCAGCTTGACCTTGCCATTGGCTCTTCACAAGTGACTGGTAATACAATCTCCCTCTATCCCTCAAGATATCATTTTCAGCTGTACACACAAGAATCCTCTCACATGCTAATCCAGCAAGATTTGGAGCTCCATTAACAAACGGGTTGATCCAGGGATCATTATTGCCTTTATCTGAAGGGCAAACAAATTGCCACCACTTGTCCACCATACCTTTGCGTATTGGATCGTGTGCCTCAGCCCCGATTTGTTCTTCACCCCAGAAGTATGGTTGTATCATAAGAATTCCATCAATCTTGATCCCTGATAGAGACTCGACTGAGCACCCAACTCGGATTGCCATGTGGTGTGATATATTTGCACCAGCACTATCTCCTGCCAAAAACACCCTGCCAAAGTCAACATTTTCCTTTAGCCAATTCTCAGTTCCACCTCCTGAATTGTGGGAAGCCAACCATTGAAGGACAGCCCATGAGTCCTCATAGGCGGTCAGAAGAGGGTGTTCGGGGGCTCTTCTGTAGTCGACTGAGACAATGACAACCTTAGCCTCGGAGGCTAATATGTTTAACACGCTATGGTACAAGGGATCAGATACTGAAGATATGAAAAATGCTCCACCATGAAAGTAGACCACCAGAGGAAGTCTTTGGTGGTTGGTTGTGAGAGTGGGTCGATAAATCCGGACAGAGATGCCAGTATCGGGTATGACAACTATGTCTTTGGAGGACACGCCAGTTTGATGATCAAAGGTTGCTGGTGCAATTTCCGTTCCTAGGAGTCTTTCTATGGTTCCATCTTTGTACACCCTTAGGAAAGGTGGAACATCATGAATGACCTGACCACTGCTTGAATCCATCTGTGAGAGAGTCTCTTGGCTAAAACTGAGAACTGTTTGCAAGGTTGAAACTGAAGTAGAGAATAGACAGAGAGGCAAACAATGAAAAATATAGGTTGAAGCTCAAGGTCAATGCAAGAGTTGGAGCCATGAATTTCTACCATAGAATAAGAGAAATTCTATGTACGGCATTAATTAATAGGACAGATGTGGATATGGGTAGCAATTGAGATTACTTATCAGTTAATGTCTCTTAGGCCCTGTTTGATGGGCTTGGTTTTCCATGGAAGTAGCCAAATATTTTCCTTTTCCAACCTTAATCAATGTTTG